TGTTATCCACAAAAGGTGTCATGTATTCATATTCGTCCAACTTCTAAATGCACTTAAAGAACTTTAACAAATAATCAGGCAAAACTGAAACACGACACAACAGGTTTCCTTTTATGTTTTCAGACAAATGACTTCCGAGACAACTGCTGGAAGGTCACAAGGTCTCGAAATTGTACGAAACCATTATAATTTTCAAAAGATACCCAAAGTTTGTACACCATTGTGACTGTTTGATTCTAAATGTCTGGTTGACACGGGGGCAGTGGGGTAGCCTAGTGGTTAAAGCGTTTGCTCATCATGCCGAAGGCCCGGGTTCGATTCCCCACATGGTACAATGTGAGAAGCTCATTCCTGATGTCCCCCCACAGTGATATTGTTTGATGGGCATTCTAGAAGTTGGTGACTCAAAAATGAAACATACAACTTTATGGATGACAACTTCTTATTTATTGCATAGAGCGACGTTTCGATGTAGATTCTTACGAATCTCACTTTTAGCTTGATAACGATGTAAGAATCTACATGGAAACGTCGCTCTATGCAATAAATAAGAAGTTGTCATCCATAAAGTTGTATGTTTCATTTTTGCTGGAATATTGCTAAAAGCAGCATAAAACTAAACTCACTCACTCTGGATGACAGTAGCTCATGTTCAGACAGCGATGACATAAGTCAAAATGGATGATAACTTTGTGTTGATGTCATACCAGCGGCAATAAGGCCCACTGGTTGATGACAATTTGTTTATGTCTAATCTGCACGTGCATTCCGTGTCACTCAGGGAACTGATAGACATTTGTTGCAGTGTTTCAGGGTTTTACATGACACGTGATTCCTGCGTATTTGACGCAACAATTTTGTAAACGACTCTCAAAATATTATCATACGAGTCAAGCTTGATGCAAGTATTATGGATGGCCCTCACAATTCAGTTCAATAAAATCAATTTGATAAGCAAACAATGATATTGTTCGATGATAGTTTGACTTTTACAGAGCTATCATCAGATCGTTCCAGAGAACTCAGAGGAGACAGTAATCCTGGCTGTTTGAATTGAACAATGCTGTAGTTTCATTTGATGGTGTGACATACATAGTTACATACTGAGAATGATTAACACAAAGAAATATTTAAATTTTCATGACTCCCAAATATTGAAAATGACTCCCAAACTTAAATATTGTGAGTCACCATGACCCCCAATTTTAAAAGTCTGTGTAAAACCTGCATATTTTGGTTTAACCTCCAGCACAGAACATGTATAATGTTCTGATACAGGTTCTAGTCCTCTTGTCAAGCAGGGATACAAGAATCTGCATCAAGACGTTGCACTTATAAATAGAAGACGTTGTTGTTAGTCATTACTGTACTGAGTGAGTTTTGGTTTTACGCCGCTTTTAGCAATATTCCAGCAACATCACGGCGGGGGAAACCAGAAATGGGCTTCACATATTGTACCCATGTGGGGAGTCGAACCCGGGTCTTTGGCGTGACGAGTCAATGTGTGAGTTATTACGCCGCTTTTAGCAATATTCCAGCAACATCATGGTAGGGGACACCAGAAATGGGCTTCACACATTGTACCCATGTGGGGAATCGAACCCGGGTCTTTGGCGTGACGAGTGAACTCGTGAGTTTTTATGCCGCTTTAAGCAATATTTCAGTAATATCATGTCAGGGAACACCAGATATGGGCTTCACAAATTGTACCCATGTGGGGAAATGAACCCGTCTCTGGTGTGATGAGCAAACGCTTTAACCACCAGGCTACTCCACCACTCCATATCAGATGATGGCTGTCAAATGAAAACAAAATGTGTAACCCCCCCTTTAATACAGTTGTATATTCTAAAAATATGTTCATTATACACATAAGAAACTGGTATATATTCTCTATCTGTACTGGACTAACATAATGTAATGTGACAGATGGTGTACAATGGTTACCTGGGTCAGAAAACTGGGGTTGGGTACCTGTGTATGGAATTTGAACTTGTCTCCACTCCAGGTCCTGACCTAAAGTATCTTTAATGTATTATCCATATGTCCAGTGCTTGTCCAATAAACTCACCAACATATGGATCAATCACATGGTTATTCTACAAGATGGCATCATGGTTGTTCAAGCTATTAACTTGTCATTATTGGTGAGACAGATTTATTTACAAGTAATCCTGAATGCGATGATCAAAACTCACTCACTCAAAACAGAGAATTTTTTTATTTTATCATGTTCCTTAATATTATCAGTTTTCTTTTTATTTCTTTATTTCATTTTAACCCACATTTCAAACTTAAATCAACCCCGTCATTTATATTTCAAGAAAATATCTGAATAAAAAAATATGCTTATTTTGAACATATTTTTTTTCCTTAGCACTTTTTTCAAGATGATCAAGAGGTCAAAACAAGCCTGGGAGTTAATGTTTTCCTCATTTTGCTTACAGCAATTCAGATTTGAAGAAAACAAATTGTTGTTGCCTCATAGACGAATTCCTGAACCTCTTTAGAAAGCCTGCTAAAGGTCAGTGACATCCAGGAGGTCTCTGGGTTATGCAAGGACCTAATGGATTAAGATGGTATCTCCACTCAATTACCTAAACTACAACCACTATCTTGTGTACCATCTAATGACATAGGTCTGGACAATAGAAACTAACCAACCTAGTGGTCAGTCTCAAGTGAGAGTTATGAGACTGCAGTGGACAATGGCCTTCCATTTTCAACTTGTAAACACCTACAGAAATATTTACATTGGAGATTTTCTGCAACTTTGATGTTTATTATGTGCTTGAAATGAGAGGGACAAATACAGCAGAACGAGGAATAACATGTTGATTTCATTCAATAAATATTGAATATTTCAATTTCACTGTGTTTCGGTTGGATATTTTTTATATGAAGCCTAACATTGCACATTCATTGAGTTATTGTGGATATCTATGGTGAACAACGTGGAAATTCTATGGATTTACAACTTCTTTATTATAATGTAAGCAATGTTTCCCTGTTGTTCATTTCACCAACTTATAAATGCCATTTAAAGAAATGATATCTATGTTGTTAGGCTTACATGTTGATTTCACTTCATCGCGTAATTATGGATAATTATTATAAGGCCAGACATGTTGATTTATAGTAAATGTCTGTAGGATATTTTGTTGTTAGGCCTAAAATCTTCATCTCACATTTGACAAGTGACAAAATAATCTTCATCTCACATTTGTTGTGTAAGGATGGGTATTTTTGTAGTTTAGCCTGACATGTTGATTAGATATCAGTGAATTATTATGAATATTCATGTTGTAAGGCTTACCATATTGAATTCATGTTTATGGTGTTGTTACCTTGCTATCATGAGGCCTAACATTTTGATTTCATATTTTATACTTATGCTGAAAGGCCTGACAAGTTCACTGTATTGAAGTATGTTCGGTGGAATATTTTGTTGTTGTAAGGCCCAACATGCTCAATTTAAGTTCACTGTGTTGAGGAGAATATATTTTGCTGTCAGGTCTAACAATGTCATAGATCTAGTTCTAATGAAAAAATATGGTCAAATAGAAATTAGAAATTCATTGTTTTTTTTATATATTTTAAATATAGCATGATGTGTATTATCATCATTGCTCTTGCTGTGAAATACAAATATGTCTGAAAATATCACCGTGAAACTAAAATCTGTGTTGAAATGATATCAATTAACCTTGCAAACTTAATCAGCTGAATCATATGCTAAAGCTGTGAAATTAGTATAAAAGCTAGTTGTTATCCATAAAATGTGTCATCTATTCATGTTTGTCCAACCTCCAAATGCCTTTCATGAACTCCATATGTTTAAGAACTTGAACATTTTAATTAAAAAAATACTTTCAAAAGGAAATAAAAGCACCAAAACAATCAAGCTATTCAGGTTTTGGATACCACATCCTGTTTCTGGAGAATTAACAAATATTGAAATGATTGTTAAATAATTAAAAAAAAAAATTAGGCCAAGTGTTTGGTTCCTGACCTGATTTTTTCAGGAACAATTATGGCCAGTTCTGTTATTTCAAGGAAATTGTAACAGTCAACTTTCCAACTGAGTCAGAGATGTATGATACAGCTAAATCTTGTTGATACACATTTAGTAATGTTAAAAACACTTACAAAAACTAATGAATTTTTTTTAGGACCATGAGATGATATTAGCGTTAATGATAGAAATTCTGTTGTACTAGATAGAATAAGTATTATACTCCTTTGTTATGGTAAACATTGAAACATTGGATTAATATTTGTTTCAAATATATCAAATATGCAGCAATACATTAATGAACATTGTTATTATTGCATCTGGTTTTATAAAGATTAATTACACATGCATTTAAACAGAAATCAAACTACTGGCTTATTAAATATTTTTATCTGAAAAAAGTCTAAAGGTAAATGCACAAAACCAATTGATATATTTTAACTTCCACTCTAAACAACTAGCGTGAGAGATTAATTGATTAATTAGGAGGTCATTTATCTTTAACAGGTGCGTGATTGAGTTATACCCTCTTAACAGTAATACATCGGAGATTGTTGAACAAACATTTGTATGATATGCCCCATGTGTATTTCACACCCCCATACATCACCCACAGTGTAGACTTCTTTGACTGACAGCAATATACATGTGTATATTTCGCTGTTATTTGACAGGACAACGATCAGAGAGGCGTCACCGCGAGAAATACAAGGCATCTTTTCTATATCACATGATTACATGTTTAAAAACTGATCACACACGAAACTGACAATGTCAGTGATTCATTGCCATGTTTACAAGCTTACGGGACAGTGACAATTATTCTGACATATGATTTCCGCCAGAAAACAAGGCTAAGACGACGTCGGGCCCTTGTGCTTGGCCATGACGAAGGGCTATGAAGTTTTCAACGATGTGGGCCTCGTAAGGGTATGCGATGCTTGCAAAAAGTTTATAAAAGTTACTTGAGAGTAATATGACTTACCAAGAACAGCCTGTAATGCTTGGTCTTCGCTTAAGACATCCATTATTCCACAAAATATCACCGATTTTCAATAATCCCAAGGCTCCATGAAATACCCAAAATCATCACTATGCTTCTACCATCGTGAACAAGTGTGTGTACACCTTCGCCCTGTGACGTCACATCACGTGGTCCGCCGTTCTGTTCACCTCCTCCGTTAGGCGTTCAAGCGTGTGTGTCAGCTTACATCAACGTTTGTTTTGTAAATTATACCGTTAAGTTTGCGATAAACATTGTTTACGGCAGTGTACCACATAAATTACTACATCACAGTCCCCTGTGGATTGGTTGCTTGTGAAATGGCAATTACGATAAACGTTATAACTTGGTGAAGGAGTGGTTTGCAAGTCAGTGAAGGGTCGTTGTGTACATCCACTAGTTTCCGATGTGTCATACCGACAATCTTGATAGAAGGCACACTCCACTATCGTATCAAATGAACACTTCCTAAATCTTATCAGAAAGACCTCATTCACCACAATATACATATAAATTATACCGTTGAACAATCTTCAAAATCAATCAAAATTCCATTTAACCCTTTTTAGCTCCCCGCCCTACCCCCAAAAAAACCCCAACAACAACAAAACCAATAAAACCCCCCAAAACAACAAGCAAACAAAAAACAAATGCAAAATAAATAAATAAGTAAATAAATAAATAAATAATTGGGAACTATAGCTTTACTTTTCAAATTTCATTTTTGTGAGTGAGTTTAGTTTTACGCCGGTTTTAGCAATATTCCAGCAATATCACGGTGAGGGACCCCAGAAATGGGCTTCACACATTGTACCCATGTGGGGAATCGAACCCAGGTCTTCAGCGTGACGAGCGAACACTTTAACCACTAGGCTACCCCACCCCCTCCATTCTGTCAAGTGGCGATAAACGCCATCATAGACATCTAGGGCTGTTTGTTAAACCAATTCTAAATAAGTCCTAAAGTACTATCGGAAATTTATATTTAAAATTTGGAGGTATTACAGTTACTTAAATAACAAATATCACTTTAAGAAACATCTACCTAATGTAGACCGAGGGAATAAATTTTGAGACATGCCCTAAAATGTGTTTTTACTGATGAAAATACAAAAAACTTAGAAAAATAACGGGTAGTGGGAGGTTATTTGATACAAAACTTAACTGCCTGTGTTACGTCATCAGCATGCACGGTATCGACAGGTGAAATTGACACCTGAGCACACGCTCGGGGGAAGGGTCATCTCAATAGATGTTTTCTTCAAAATGTTGAATATGTGTACGTATAGTATACGTATCGGTTATGTAAGGTATCATTTTTGTATGTGTGTATGTGTGTTTGTTTTGAAATAAACATATGAATTACTGTACATTGGAAAGAATCCTATCACTTGTGTTATCTTATCGATTGATTGTAGAAATGTGCAACGTTTTAATAAATGTTTTGCATGTCAACAGTATATTTCATTGTATAAATATGGATGTAATTCGGTCAGTTTAATGTAGTTGTGAACATTGGCCAAAGATTTAACGAAGTAACTGGTGTAGCTTCTTTAGAATATATGTTATTCTTCTCATAAAGTTTGTAGACCGCCCGTCTAAGTACTCCCTTGTCAAAGTTGTCAAGGATGGTTTTACGTCCCGGTTTTGCTTTTGAGACGGTCCCTGTCTTGTCTGATTTGTTTACAATATTGTAAACTTGTTGGTAAGACATACCAACAGCTCTACAAGTTCTGTAATAAACCCTTTCTAAACTAATGAAAGGTTTACCTCTGTCTTTTTCAAACACAAAAAACTTATAAACCTTTGCAACAATTGACTGCAAATAGTTGGCCATAGTGGACGCTGTGATAAAGATGTGCATGCATGACGGGAAACTTATTTATCAAGACTTAACATTTATATTAATATTTCTTCAATAAAGAAACGATAATTAAGTAAAGTAACACAAACATTCAACATTTATTTGTTAAAGAAAAACGTTGATTCATATTTTTACACCACCTGTATTATTAGCATAAATGTAAAGACTTTTTCAGATTTCTGTTGTTGAACTCTGAAAAAATCCTAAGTTGTTTTGGTACCATATTCTCTCCTGTAAACTGCCCTTTAAATGTATGGGAATGTTACATCGATTGAAATAAAAATTGGGTACACTATAGGCGAGTTGATATATTGACAACATAGTACATTTATCACCTTTATCAAAGTATTAAGGCTAAAAAGCATTTTTCTAGCATTTCCGACAGTACTTTTTCAAAAATTTAGCTGAGAGCACGAGTAGCGTAATTTTGTAAGCAATATATTATACTTTCTTAAACCACGGGGAGAAATATGAAGACGCGTATTTAGTTCGTAGTTTTTTCTTTTATTGAACGTGATACGTTTTTCAATGTATAAAACATATACTCTCCCAAAAAAGAAACGCATATAGGAATTTCAGCTGTATTTTTATGTTTATTTTGAAACATCTTGTAGGCTTTATGAGTTAATGAAATATAGCGAAATTGCACACTGGGAATGCAGACTTATCCGTCTTTGGCACCAAACCGAGGAAAGTCAGTTTGAGTGTCACGTGGAGACGTGTGGTGGCGCTGAAGTCAAACCCTCGTGTGACCACCGTGGGCATCCAGAACTGCACGGCATCGCCTCGGCATCGAACGAATAAGTCTCAGAATCTTGTGTTGCCCAATCGCAGCCCACTCTGCCTGTAGTGCCTGTGCGAGTTGCTGAAGTATCTGGGGCTGAGGGTTACGGCGTCGCACCCGTCTGTCCAGGGCATCCCACAGATGTTCGATCGGGTTTAAGTCCGGTGATCTTGAGGGCCAGGGGAGCACATTGATGTTGTGGTTCTGGAGGAAGTCTCTAGTGTGACGTGCTGTGTGGGGCCAGGCATTGTCCTGTTGAAACAACTCCCTCTGGCGATCAATGATTGGAAGGAGGTGTGGGCGTAGGTTTTCGTCACAGTACCGTTGAGCTGTCAGGTTGCCCTGGATCATCACCAAATCACTTCTCCTACGGCAGGTGATCGCTCCCCACATCATAACACTGCCCCGGCCGAATCTGTCCACCTGGGGAACGCAAGCGTCGGAGAAACGTTCACGTCGACCTCTGTACATCCGCATTCTTCCATCGCGTCGTTCCAATAGAAATCGTGATTCATCACTGAACCAGATTCTACGCCAATTCGGTAGGTTCCAGGCCTGAACGTTGGTGCACCATTGAACTCGATGTCGACGATGTTGTTGAAGCACAGGGCCAAAATAAGGTCTTCTGGCACGTAAACCAGCCTCTCTCAACCTGTCCTGACGTTCTGTGCAGAAAGCCTCCTCAATCCGGGTATTTGTCGAGCGGTACTGGTCGCCGTTGCTTTTCGATGACGCAGTGGCCGCTCGAGGTCGCCCACTACGAGGGGCATCTGCTACCGCATTCTGCCGGCGATATCTCTCCCAGAGCCGTGAAATGGTGCTTTGGTGAACATTCATGCGTTGGGCAACTGCACGTTGAGACTGGCCAGCTTCAAGCAAACCAATGGCGATATGACGGTTGGCTTCACTTAGACGTGGCATTTGGCGTTCGTCAACAATATTCCAAATACAGTGAATAATCGACAGACAGCGATCAACCTTTTATACCCATCATTGAGACTATCTGATCCCCAACTTTCACGTGCATTGCATGTGAATTGTGTATTCTGTGACACTACACGCCGAAATTGAAAATCACGGGTATACGGGTATTTTACGGAGAGTGCGTTTTGTTGTGATGTTTCAAAACATAAACACCATAGGACTCATAAACAGAGCAAAACCTTTTCTAAAGTGAATCACGTTTTAATTCATTGCTACATGAAATTGCTATTTTCATTATGCGTTTCTTTTTTGGGAGAGTATATATTCCTATGAGAGTATGGTTCACCCTCGCTAATCAAGGGTATTATATTGTCAAGTCATTATCATCCTCATTTACCCAGTATTGTGACAACTACCGTCGGCCCGTTCGTTTTCTTAGTTTCGGAAAGAGACGGAAAGACTAACTGAGTTTAGTTTTATACCGCTTTTAGCAATATTCCAGCAATATCACGGCGGGGAACACCAGAAATGAGCTTCACACATTGTGCCCATGTGGGGAATCGAACCCGGGTCTTCAGCGTAACTAGCGAACCACCAGACTACCCCACCGCCCCTGAGACGCAAAGAATACAGTCATCCAGTCCAATTCCTATCACGAACCAGAAGAAAATTGTGCAAAGTTAAGGATAGGGAAGATGTCGAAGGTGACGCCACTCCGAGAGAAACCAATTGAGTCGAACGGATGCAAGGTATTATCCATAACAAATAACGGAGCGGTGGGGTAGCCTAGTGGTTGAAGCGTTCGCTCGTCACGCCGAAGACCCGGGTTCGATTCCCCACATGGGTACAATGTTTGAAGCGCATTTCTGGTGTCCCCCGCCGTGATATTGCTACAATATTGCTGAAAGAGGCGTTAAACCATACTCACTCACTCACTCATAACAATTAACATTTAATACTTTTGTCCATTATCTAGGATAGGTGTACTTACAATGTAGATTATATACCCACGTGTTTGCCGTTTTAATCTTCGTGAACTACTGTTATCTTGAGACCCGTGAACATACGGGTTTGAATTGGTCTTCAGTAACCCATTCTTGTAGCAATAAGCGACTAACGGGATCAGGTGGTGAGGCCCGCTGACTTGGCTGACACATGTAATCATATCCCAATTGCGTAGAACGATGCTCATGCGGTTGATCACTGGATTGCCTGATTCAGACTAGATTATTTACAAACGGCCGTCACATAGCTGGAATATTGCTGAGTGCGGCGTTAAACAACAACCAACCAACAACTTAGTGGTTACATCGGACTTTCAACTGAGGCACTTTGAAGTCGAAAGTTTTATTCGGTATGTGAAAACAATTTTATAAAATGACATTTTTATCAGATGTTTGCGATATCTCGAAATAGCAGAACGGATCTACCTCTTTTAACGCGGCATTAATGGGTACAACAAGGACTGGTTGGCTCGGAGTCAGTATAATGTGTCTGAGTGGGGTATTCATGCTTCACTGCGGCATGGTATCTCAGTGGGCTAGCACTATAAAACCAGCTTAAGTCTGGGCTAGTACAAGCAGCCGCACATACACATATACATGCATGCACGTCGTCATATAAGCGAAATATTCTCAAGCACGACGTAAAACCCAATTTCACCTCACCTCACCTCAC